CATAATAAACGAATGACTTCCACGACGGAGGAGCTGATATCGTGACATGCAGATAAATGGTGGCAGGACGTCTTGTTAGTCCGCACGTCTAGGTACGACCACCCAGCTTATTTCTGTCGTGAAGCAGTAATGCGTTTCGGTTCGAAGGGTCGGGCAGCCGTTGTAACTATACTGAGACCTTAGAACTCATCTCTCAAGATAGGTGGCGGCATTTACTTTGTAGATGTCTATGGGCTCCGGTATCCACTTAACATCAGGAGGGCCACGAGCTCGTCGCTGTCTATGCATTAAAAAAAAGCATTTCTCTCCACCAAACTTCCTCCACTAGACGTCGAACCGACACTCATCGGCACTACGACCACAAATCCTCTCGGTTGATGAACTATCTATAGTTCGCCTAAATAGCGTCGCCAACTGACACCCTAGGAATGCTCCACTGAGTTAGAAGCAGCGTGAGTCGGAGAGTGGGACAATGCTTCATCCGGTTTCTCTTTAGCAGCTTACATGAGTCCATCTTTTTTGTTTTTTTTTGGGTCTGTTCCGTCGGTCCCTAAACCAGCATATGGAAGGAACTTTTCGTAGTATTTGTACTTTGGTTGTATTGTAGCATGCCGCCGGCGTGTAAGTTAAATCAAGCTACGACTTTGATACATATTAATAGAATATTTCCATAATATAATGTATACAAAAATAGTAAAATTTTCCATAGAATTTATTTAAATGCTTTAAGATTCAAAAATACTTAGTAATATTAAAGTATCTGAACTCCCTTGAACTTACAGTCTCTTCCTCGATGTTGTAAAGGTTAAAAACCTCCGGTTACATTAAACAAGGAATAGACATTTTCAGTGAGTACCTGCAACAAAAATAACAATTTAAAAAGCAATTCGCTTAACATCAGATTACATATTTACGATAACTATTAATAATTAAGTGCTTTTAATTCAATACAGCTACCGCGAAGTTCAGCAATTAAAAATTTATTAATATATTTTTGATAATTATTGTTAAAAAGAACATGGATTTAGACTTTAGAATGGTATTATATTTTGTGTAGGTACATTATTAAAACTACTTTTACAGTGTCATCACTTTAATCATTGGTGACCACGAAAACTGTGTACTATTCGAAACTATAATTAAAACAATAGAATCCGTGGACTCGTGAAAACCGAAGAAAGTTCTGTGTGTGAAATATCGAATTTGTAAAATGATTGAATAAGTAAAATTATCCAACATTATAATAATTCAACAACACATTACGTAGACTGATTCAATGTTTCTTAAACTTCAAATATTTCAATTTGGGATAGCTAATGAATTTATATTGGTTTGTTATTAACGCTAATGGACGTACGAGCCCACAGACCAGCTGAAGTCACCGGGGCCAATACATGCCGTGACGTGAATGAGGTCACTTACCTTGAGACAGGTCAAAGTCTTAGTTGCATCGAAATAACGGTTATCCCGTCAGACAAGAACTCATAATTGCGATTCACGGTAGATTAAAAGGTACCAGTGTGGGCTGACAACACACGCCGCACCTGGGGCACTCAATCCAATACACAACAACAAAAATTATACGAATGTACAGGGTTGACATTAGCTAATGTCATACTACATATATGTTCTGAATTCATTAAATTCCTATTCCAAAACTTCCTAGATCTGCTGTCCTAATTTTCATGACAAAAGTCTTCGAGAAACTTCGACTAGATGTAAGTGAATAAAAAAAATGTAAAGGTAATTTCTTAGTAATTCTTAGTAACTCATTTTCACGCGAATATGAATTTAAATATTTATTTTTTTATTCTTAAAACTAATATAGTTGAAAATCAACTAAAGAATTCATACAAAGATATAGATGAGGAAAGAGGTATAAATTTGAAGATTCACTATTCTGTGGTTTCCTCACAATTAATTCATACGAATTCTTGATCCGGTAGTCTTTTTATAAAACTTTTTTTAGCTTGGCAGTATGTATGTTTCTATATAATGGAATATTTGAATGTCATTTACACGGATTTCAAGAGGTCCGTTTAACTTAAAATTTCGCACATGTATTCGTAGCACCCATGACAATACCACCATATTACTTCGCTCTAATATCCTGACCAGTATCAATAAGTACAACTGAAAAAAGGTGAAGCTAATCGTTAGTTGTTTTTTTTTAACTACCTATAATACTTTTCCTTTGACTTCAACCAGTTACTTAAAATGTGTATTAATGATATCTATCTATATACTTAATTTTGCTATTTTGCTCTTGAATTATTTGTGGAAGTCCAGAGAAGGTTTAAAAGGTAGATAAATATCAAAATGCTCCGAATTCAATAAAAATAACAATTTTGTTTTCCCTTTGATGTGTCCCCCGCCGGACGAATTCCTTTTGTTTGTTTTATGTTTATATTATACAATACTTTAGGTCTTTTATTTATCGATTAAGGCACTACGAAGTCTGCCGGGTCAGCTAGTTATAAATATATTATCACTAGGATCATTTTTAAGAATCTATAATTTTACAAGTTTGCACGAAATAAAATTGTAGAGGACGCGAGGACGGTTTGCGGTTTTAGAGAACTCTGTTATTTTATAATCTGATGTTTAAACACACCGTTTTTTTTTTAATGGAAAATATACAAGGTCAATAGTTAGAAACTGTTAACATTAATAAAATACAGTATCAATTAGTCATCCTAAATATATGCTTGCTCTGTTTATTTTGAATATACATACCTATAAGTAGTAAAAATCACGATTTAGAAAATTTTACGATTTTAAAGTTATATTTGCCCGTCTATGAAATATCTGAATTTAGTAGAATAATTTACAGCCTGCTCTTTAAGTTTATAGGCTGGCTAGCTCGCGGCTCATCTGGTATTGAAGAGTCACTGGCACCCATAGACATCTATCTTAAGGAAGAAAAGCGTTGGAGTGGTTTCTCTTATGAGGTAAACGACATCACTTCCCGAAGGAAGACCATGATAAGGACGACAGATCAAAAATAGATCGAAGTCTTATTTAATTGTGGACAATAAATAAATGTGGGTATATCCGTGGGTGTAGTAAAAGGCGACTATGGAGATTTAAACGCAGAATGGACGATGAACGATGCTCTCTGAGTATTATGCTGAGGATCACTGCGATCGTCAACTTGCATTTACTGGTGGTATGCAGTATTGTAAGTCCGCATGGATAGGTATCATAATTTTGCCTATTTCTGGTGCGAAAGAGTAATAGGTTTTGGATGACAGAGGTTCATAAAGCACAATTGAGACTCTGACCTCATGTCTTCAGATGGTCTGCATTCACGTTGTGATGTCTATGGACTCCTTAAGCTAATTTAAAATGTACCAACTTGTTTTGGCAAACATTCCACAATATTTACGAAAAGCCTGCGTATGTCTGTCGTGAAGCAGTAATGCGTGCCGGTTTAAAGAGTGGGACAGCGGTAACATTATGTGATTAAGATTTAGACCTCATGTCTTATGTCTCGTGATGTCTATAGACCTCGGTTATCACTTAAAAACAGCCGTGAGCTCGGTCACCCATATACGCAATTAAGAAACAAAAGGGTTAGTATCCGCAATCACAGAATACCAGTAGTATTGAATAAATAATGTTACATATCTGATTTCATATTCATACTGCGATTAGTACCTATTGATTTACGATACGGTTAATTAACACGTTATAATAAAAGATTTAATTTATGTGAAAATAACTCGTCGTTTTTATTTGACAGTATTATATTTAACTCATCTACTGAGTTTATTTACATCCGCATCGTGTGGAAATGTGTGATTAAATTCGCATGTAATTAAAAATATAATTACTGAAATTTCAATCGTACTTTTAATTTAATTTTAGACTATCCCTCTATGTATCTAATAAACTGATATAAAACTTATATGGTGTATTTGATTTCTTCTAAAATAGTACCTATGTGCGGATATTTTACCAACACCAATGATTGGCACGATGTTAAAAAATTAAACAAACGCTTATAATAATAATTATTGGGGACGAATCACAAATAATTTTTACTGTTGGTCAGACATCTTGTGAGTCCGCACGGGTAGGTACCACCGACCTATTTCTGCCGTGAAGCAGTAATGCATTTCGGTTTGAAGATTGGAGCAGCCGTTGTACTATAAAAACTGAGACCTTACAACTCATTTCTCGAGGCGGGTGGCGGATGGCTATGGGCTCCGGTTACCACTTAATACCAGGGGGGCCGTGAGCTCGTCCAACCATCTACGTTATAAAAAAATGTATATGTATGTATGGACCTACCTATACATACGGTAATATAGATATTAAACACCCATATAAACAGCAAACAAATCTTTTCGTTACATGAATGTTTTCCCTGAAGGAATGAATCCCTGAAGTTGAGGAAATCAAGATTTTTCTTCAGAATCTAGATTTATTTTCTTATAGGACTATCAATATTTTGTAAACGAACATAAGTGTATTTTTCTTAAATATAAAATAAATACTAATAACAAAACTAGTCTTCTTTGATAAGAATTTAAAAAAATCAATATTCGTACTAATAAAAAACATCTAAAAATCTAAAAGACCTCCTTGAAAATTAAATGAACAGTTAATGTAATGAAATCTGTTAAATTTAGTTCAAGAAAAATAAAATAAATATGACATTTTGTTATTTGAAAAAGAAAAAAAACTTTTCCTTCGAACATCCACCTATTATTTTTAGTACTAAGACTAAGGTGCCAATTAGAAAAAAAAAAAGCATAATCGAGTGGCAGGTCTGTTTAAAAAAAACAGCTCGGCAAACTGTATACACAAACATTCATTAACAGTAACGGTTAAACAAAAACAATTGTTAATCATTAATAAGCTCTTATTAAGGGTTACTCCTGTCACATGACATGTAGGATGCGGAGGCCACATCTTCACGGCCAGCAGTGCTCCTCAGCGTCGTCCCACCATGTGCACATCCCCGCTACGATCACTATATAAGACACCGCACAAACCTGCCGCGCGCTATTACAACTGTGTCTCAGTGTATTTTTCCCGCCGTGTTTATTTATTTAAAAACATCATTTAAGGTAAGCGATCTTGAAATTTCATCAGGGATAAAACGGGATAATAATTACAAAAAAATAACAGTAATTCCGGCTGATAAATAACGTCTTGACGTCAGTCACAGAAAATTCTAGAATTAATGTGATTTCGATATTATAAACAAATCTTCGTGATTCGTTGATAGAAACTTAATGTATGACTAGCCCAATTTTAATCTAAAAAAAGTGGTTCGAACTATTTCTATTATGTGTTCTATTAACAGGGAACTATTACAAAATTGAAACAATATACACGTATAGTATCAATTTGATTAAAAACACACATCATAATGTTAATTACAATTTGTAATAAATTTTAAAGTTAAATCACTACTACATCTTTAATTTGAAGGTACAGGATTTGGTTTACACGCTTTAGGAGTCCGTTGCGAATTGGCGTCCGTGTGCTGAATCTGTGTCAAACAATTGCAACACTCGTTTCTGAGCTTGATGATAGCCCTTTTCTATGAAGCTTTCGACATTATACTGACTAAAACTATTTTAATATTTTAATCAATTAATTTTAATCGATTCAATAAATTTACTGTTAAATTAATACAAGTTTCGGTGATTCATTTCGATTCGGCTATTCGATACCAATCCACGATTTTGGAGAATCGTTAAGATGTTTCTCTGCGAATCCTTTGCATGTTCATTTTTTCTTTTAAACAATGTAAGTCCGCGATAGATTAATAACAATGATTTAAATAATAAAATCGAGATTACAAAATCTTAACTACTTAATGAAGGTCGACCGGCTGAAAGATGTAAACTTTCAAATATCTCTGTATGACAAATAAATTTGAGTTTAGTAATAGCATATCGGTCGATGTCAGTGGAACCAGTTTGATTTAAGATGCCCCCGGCAAGCACAGCGTCATCCGCGGAATGTTGCATATCCACATTATTTCGAACGAAAAGTGACGGTAGCTATTTAACACGACAACGTTTAAAATATTTCCATTTACAAATCTCAACAATACTTATACACATTAGATAGAGATGAACGGTATTTTATTTATCCGTTTATGCACGGCAATCTTGCGTATTTTGTGTTTATCATATTTTGATTAAGTTCATCGCAGTTTTGATAACTATTTACAAAACAATTTATTCAATTTTTTAAACATGAAGAATACTTTACGACCCGCTGGGGTTCAACTGTTTTGATATAACTTAATCCTCAAGACATTAGAAACGTAAAAAATATTATCGCATCACTTAGAATTAACGCGTACCACAAAAATCTGAACCTTTATTCACGCTTATCTTGTTCAGAATTATTGAAACCGTAAATATAATATGTAATATGAACATAAACAGCGTAATAGTGCACGTGAAACATAAAAATATATTTAAACTAAAGACCGCAGCTGATATTTTGATATCAATCCAGTAAATATGTGACCAGCATCAAACACGATCGGCAACTAGGGCAATCTGAACATTTCCTGAAAATTTTATAAAGATTTATACACTTGTCTACTGTCTTTTATACAAAAACAAAAATATATATACACAAAAATATATATACGAGAAAGAATAAGATAATAATCTCATGGTAAATTTATCATGCCTTACTTCATATTAAATGCTTACTTCTAGGAACTATGTAATATTAGGTTTATCTTTGGGTCTAGCTCAAACACACTACGAAGTGCATACCGCCTTAAGACAGTGGAAGTCTCTTTTGTTTTTCAATAAGGCCAACCTTTGAAACAGGAATAGACGCCTTGCGGCAGAAACGTTAAAAAACTGATCACAGGGTCGATACATTTAATAGTAACTTCAGGGGAAACATATAGAGAAAGATTTATTCGGATTTCGCGTGTCGTAGATATGATTAAAACAAATTTTATATTTTATCTTGCATGTTTAAAACGTGTACAACACAAGATTTGTTTAGATACTATTTTAAAACGGAAAAGTCTAAAGTATAATGTCTAAAGTATACGGTTAAAATAATTTATTGGCAGCTGCAATGGGGATCGTGTAACCAACTCAATTCAAATCAGACGGCCACATAACTGCTAACGTATAAAGTTTTGTTTAAATTTTATTTAAATGACATCTGAGGAAGTATTTTTGAATTCTAATTTGGGTTTTTAATGCAGTTTAAGTTTTTAATGCACGCGGCGCTCATCTTTTCCACACTATAATTATACTGAAACAAAAGTTGTACTTTGTAGATACCCAATTCGATGTATCTTTCTTTTTGTTGGTTTGATTTTTATCTGTAGGTTCGCGCGTTACGCAAAACTTACAAGACTATTTTGACGAAACTTTTTGTGTTAACAATTTATGAATAATGCGAATCGGATTTATAAAACACATTAAAATAACTTCCAAGTGAAAAAAAGACGAAGTGAACTCCGTTTGTAGTAAAATCATATTATTTTTTTCTAAATTGAAATGCAAAAAATCTTCTACTGATGTAAAGTTTGGTTATGGGCATGTCAGAGTTGAAGAATACAATGATTAAGCGAACAATGATTACGAAAATGTACTTAACTTATATGCTAAATGGTTCTACAATATTTGTCACCAAACTGAAGTCTGACAGTCTTTGCACTATTTAACTGAGACTTAGATCTTAGTCTCTAGGTGGGTGACAGCATTCAGGTTTTACCTACCTATTAGTGAGTAGGGTAGCCAAGCTCACAGGCTCGACCTGAGAGAATTTGCTAACACTAGCAGCTCTAGTAAGAGCAGTGCTTCTCACAATCTACCACCGGAATTAGTACCCACTGAGAAGATACGACGTGAAACTCAGTGGGCTATGTCTATAGGTTAATTCTCTCGTCGAATTCTTTTTCGTAATCAACGAGTTCGACAAAGACGGTAACCGGTGCTTGAGGGGCTTAAAAGTACCGAAAGTAGATCCGGAATCTGACAAGACATGTTTCAAGCGAGGGTAGTTTTGCGTTTCCCCAGTCGCCTGGGTCGGGATAACACAGCATTCACGTTGCGATGTCCGCTTACTTCGGTAACCACCATCAGGTAGCCTGTGAGCCCATTCACCTAACTACATAAAAAAAAGAAGTAGATCAGTTCATGTTACAGCAATATTTCATCACAACTAAAAAAAAACTGCGAAACTTTGAATGAAAAAATGAGCATATTAACTTCTGTATTACACTAAATTATGCATCTGTGTCACACGCTGTCACATTTATGGAAATGTCATTTGTCATTGTTGACAGTCAGCTTAGGAATTTTTTCATTAATAAATTCACACACTATACTATGATACCATGTTTTACATATATTAACTCAATTTGTCTTTCAAATTTGGTCTCAATGATGGTGGATCGAAGGATAGTTATGATTTAAATTTAGCTATGTTAATGCTAAGAGTTTTGTCTCTTTAGCATTTGTTAAATGATTTTTTTCTTCAAATATGAATGACTGTTTCACGATACAAACAGGCAAGATATGGTAATTAAGACATTTCTTACACTCCTTCACCGAGTTGTTGGTGTGGTACTTAGTAGGCAAACCATTCGTGAGATGAACAAGTCTGTTTTGCTTCTTATCTAGGTGTTTGTTTTTTATATTTATATGTGTATATATTTAAACGCTTATAACTATATATATCATTATCTGGTTCCGAAAAAATCGGGCGGCGATCAATTAACCCGACCCCTCTTACATCTGTTCGAGAGTGGGCTACAGAGACCATGAGGAATTAGATAACCTCTAAAATTCTGCAATGGATAGATCTGAGTGCCCACTACTACGCATTTACCCAAGAAAACTCCTTAAATTTACAGTACCATTGAAAGACCAAGTTTGTTGGCCGATCCGGCTCCAAGGATCGCAACAGATGAAGAACAATTGTACAAGAGAGATTGATGCAGCGGTGAAGTCATGACCCTCAGTAATGAGGAGAACGATGCAAGAAGAATCTGTTCCCATAATATAAAATGTACATAATTATCGTGTGTGAATATTATCATTATAATTATTACACCAATAAAATTTTATTTATTACAATTTATATTAAGCGGAAATAGTTAAATTGCATTCCACCAGTTTTACGACTCATTAAGAAATACATAATTACAATAAAATGTCTCACGGAACATACCGATATCAACCACGTATCGATTCATCCAGTGCATTCTCATTATAATTCAGATACTAGCAGTAATTTGGATTAAAAGAGAAATTACAGTGTCTCGTTTTATATTAAAGGCGGACCTTATTATAAAACTCAGAAATGAACCGGTTTACCACAATTTTGTGATAAAATTGATATAAAATGTATTCATAGGTATGATTGCTTAAATTAATATTCACATGTGTTTTTGTGACAGCGCAGAAGAGGCCAGTGTGTCGAATGACGCACATTTATGGGTTCCGTGACAAATTCTGTTAATCTTAATAAATTTCGGCAATTAGTAGTGATCGATTCTGCATATAAGCGGCTTATAGTAGTAAAGTAGACATTTACTTAATTTTATCTTTTAATACGATTCCAAATCTCGAAGAAAATTGACTGAGGCATACATACACTGGTGGTAGGACCTCTTGTGAGTCCGCGCGGGTAGGTACCACGACCTTGCCTATTTCTGCCGTGAAGCAGTAATGCGTTTCGGTTTGAAGGGTAGGGGTGAGACCTTAGAACTTATATCTCAAGGTGGGTGGCTTATTTACGTTGTGGATGTCTATGGGCTCCAGTAATCACTTGGCGCCAGGTGGACTGTGAGATCGTCCACACATCTAAGCAATAAAAAAAAACATGAGATTACTCCTACCTAATATTTTTTTTTAAGCTACGGAACATTGAAAATTTATTCACCGTTTCGTCTCATTGCCGATACACATTTACGGACGATTACTCTTTGTTATAATCCGTATCGGACGTAAGTTTCGCAAGGTTCGGACCGAAGGCGCATCGTCAATTGATGCATTACGCGCCCGCGTCCCGACAAATGTCAGATGGTTGCGCAACGGTTCAAGGCTACAACCGTACGTGGCTT